GGCCTGGAGGGCACAGATTGGGTCAATCTCAGTCACAATCACGCGAGCACCGCCCTGCTTCAAGGCTGCAGCACAGCCCTTGCCCACATCTCCGTACCCACAGACCACCGCAACCTTTCCCGCAATCATGACATCAGTGGCTCTCATCAAACCGTCTGGTAGAGAGTGGCGGCACCCGTACAAGTTGTCAAACTGTCAACAATGTTCAAGCAAATATTTCATCAAGCATTATATCTACACCATAATTCAAAACCAGATTTCACCTATTTAGCACTAAATCCACACCTTTTATGATTTGGGGTGCACTTGGGAAGTATTTTACATGTAAAAGGGTAGATTTGGTGATAATGGGAGTGGATATAGTACTATATGATTACTGATTGGGAAGCAAAATCATCTGTTTCTAATAGATCCACAATTTCTGCATAATTGATCTGACAATTCAAACTAAAAACTATGCAAATCAAATCATAAACTAAAATACTCATGGGAAATGAATATAAAATCAGATCTATGTCATATATGTAATGAACTAAAGCATGATTGGGGTTTGGGGAGATCGGAAAGAGATCTACAGATCAATGAATGGGAAGAAATGAATCAGTACCTTGCTCTTGGTAACAGAGTCATTGACATTAATGGCAGGGAAAAGAAGAGTTCCGTTTTCCTGCATCTGATAAAGCCTCTTGACGCCGGTGGTGGTCTCCTCAGACACCCCGACGAGCCTCTCCTTCATCTTCGTGTACCTTTTGGGATCGGACTTGAGCCCGTCCCTGATGATCGTGAGCACGATCTGGAACTCGGCATTGTCGGTGGAACTTGGATCGGGCAGGGTCCCGTTTTTGGCGTAGAGCTCCTCGGCCTTGACCCCCTCGTGGATCAACAGGGTCGCATCTCCACCGTCGTCCACAATGAGATCCGGGCCTCCGCCAGGGCCCCAGTCGAGCGCCCTCTCCGTGCACCACCAGTACTCCTGGAGGGTCTCGCCCTTCCAGGCGAACACGGCGGCGCTGTCGCGGGCGATGGCCGCCGCGGCATGGTCCTGCGTGGAGAAGATGTTGCAGGAGCACCATCTGACCTCGGCGCCAAGGGCGGTGAGCGTCTCGATCAGGACGGCGGTCTGGATGGTCATGTGCAGACTGCCGGTGATCCTGGCGCCCTTGAAGGGCTGGGAGGGCCCGAACTCGGCGCGGCAGGCCATGAGGCCGGGCATTTCAACCTCGGCGAGCTCGATCTCGAGCCGGCCAAAGTCGGCCTGGGACATGTCCTTGACCTTGTACTCGCGGCCGGAGGTGGTTTTCTCGACGAGCAAAGCCATGGCCAGAGAAGAGAAAGGGAGATATGGATAGATAGAGATCTGGACCTCTCTTCTGTGAGTTAGCGAGAGTGTGCAGGGAATGAATGGCAGGGATGAGTGATATAAATAGGTTTGAAGGTTGAAATGAACGGCCAGGATTGGTTTGAGATCTAGGCACAGCAATGGTGTTTGGTGGATTTTGGATCTGACGACTCCCTTCGCCCCGGAGAAACGGTAAAACAGATATGTGTGCCTCTATTGTGTAGTAATCGCAATTTTTGCTTTCAATTAGTTTTTTTTATTTTGTACTTCTCCCGTCCTTAAAACATTGCCATAATTTACGGAGTAATTTTTTTGTTAAAATGTGGTACTTTTGACCACGAGTTATTGATAAAGTATATTCAGTTATAATTTAAATTTAGTAAAATTAGGTTTATTTTTAAATATAGTTTTGAAGTATCGAATTTTCATAATATTTAATTGATTTAAACTATATTTAATTCATGATTAAAATATGTCACAGTTTGACTAAAAAGTCAAATTGTAGCAATCTTTTAAATATAGTGGAAATATATTTCTTTATTTAGGTTTTATTATTGATAAATAACTTTTAATTTATAACTTTAAAAAAATTGTGTAGATAAAATAACTTAAATGATATATAAATTATTTTAGGATATTTATGATAGGTGAAAAATAATTTATTAAATGATTTGGTTAAAACTAAGAAATGAAAATTTTAGATTTAAAAGTAGGTAAAATCTACTTATTTTTTTCTAATAAGCAACTTAAAAGTCGGCATATAAGCATCGAGAAAAATATGTCATCAACTGATTTATAAATTAAAAATAGCTTATAAAAAGTTTTGAACAACTTATAAACACAGAAAACGCCATTTTTTGCGTCATTTTCCAAATGACCATTGACTATTTCAAATTTCCACCTTGACACGTCTTGATAGTATTAAGGGTTACCTAATAAAACGTGCATGTACAAGCAAAACACACTACCAAAAATCTATAACAGTGATGACATACATTGACGATGATAGATAGGGTGGTGTATCATATTCTCTCTTACAATCACACGCTCATGTAATATATAAAACACTAAACGACGTAAAAGATTAGTTGTGTTAACATATAACTCTAAACTCCAAAAGTGTTTTCAAAGAGATCATAAGTCAAAGATGAATCAGTGCAATGCAGGAACACAAATGAAAAGATCAATAATTTTATTGAAGATCAAATTTATCTCACTAAAGTGAAGATTTTCCAAGACTTTTTATTCTTATTTGTGTCATAGAAAATATACGTAAGAATTATGGATATATTTTCTCTACTCTCGCGTAGTATAATACGTAGTACTCCCTCCGTCCTCCTGTATTTGTCCACTTTCATTTTTGCACATCATCCAATGCACTTCTTTAATCCATTTTATCTTGTAATTTGTATATTGAAAAATTATAAAAATTATATATTAATAATCTATATGTTAAGACAAATCAAACAAGATCACACATGACTATATTTAGGGGTGGGCGTGAAATCCGTTCCCGTTGGACCGTCCCAAAAAATCCCGGATCCGTTTTGTAATTGTACCGATATATTGAGACACAATTTTTTTGTCCCGAACCCGTTTCGTCCCAATATCAAATGGGACATGAGCGGAACAGCTTAAATTTATACCGATTCTTCCCGTTTGTCCCGTTTCATCTACTCTACTAATATATAATACTAATTCTAGTCCAAAATCCAAATTCACTCATTCTTTAATTAATTAGTTATTTAATTAAATTAGCTTCCTGAGCTTGAAATTTATTTGGACCCGTTCCACTCATTGTTTTTTGTTGGATGGCTAGATGTTTCTTTTTTTTGAATGAAATGTCACCCTCTTCCCCTTCTTATATTTGTGATTAGGACAAAGTAGGACGACCCAAATCTGTCTCGTTTTGTTCTGATCCCGAATTTTATGGGACAAATCGAGATTAGATTGTAATCTGAACCGTTCCGAACTGTTTATATATAACGGGACAAGACGTGGGACAACCTAAAATCCGGACCGTCCCGATCCGTGCCCACCCCTAACTATATTTAGGCTTACATATTGAGAGAATTTGATCTGTCAAAGTGTTTAGATGAACAGTTCCAAAAGTCAAATATAGACAAATACATGGGGACGGAGGGAGTATTATCTTGAATAAATTTTATCACCTACACGTAAAGCCGTAAAAGGCAGTCAAAGTTGGGTGTTTGGTTTATGGTTGGTTGAAGGGCAACTAGGTCTTTTCAATATTTTGGTTACCAACTTCATGTCTCCATCCTCCTTTTATGTTTCACATTCAAATAACAATTTTTAGTTTATTAAAAGTTAGACTCTGATATTGGATTGTAATAAAATTCAAATAACAATTTTTAGTTTCCGGTTAAAATAGACGAAGTATTCGTGTTTTGTACATCATTCCAAATTATTGTAATTATTTATTTATAAGAACTTTTGACATACTCCCTAATTTTTAGGTACACAAATTTTATTTTTTAACTTTGAAATAGTTAAATTGAAAATTATTTTAGTTAGTGTACTCGAATCACGACTGTCATCAGAGCCCCACAAATAGTAGTCGCTATGCATAGACCTATGAGGAGGACTAAGATAAGATGGTAAAATATCCGTCGAGACCCCTTTGCGTTGTTGAGTGGAAATAAAAGAAGAAATGCTCTACACTTTTTAAATTCCATTCTTTTGTAACTTATACTCAATTTGTTTCCATTACCTCCTCTATACCTCTAAGTTCTTCCAAGGTATTATTTAAATGGTTAAATTTTATTCATTTTTTATCTATCTTTTTTACTATTTGATAAAATAATATAATATTTTCACAACTTATTTTGTAAATATTTTGATGTAGTTTTTTAAATTTATAGGAGTAATATTTATTTTTAAATTGCACACAAATTTTCATATACAATAAATTAAAAATAACTTCAGTCAAACATCATAACGCGAACTGGAAAGAACCTAGAGGGACGAAGGGAGTATATTGTTGTCAAATTTATTTGAGGTTGACGCTCAAACGACCAAAATGAGGATAAAATTTATTTTTACACCTTTTTAAATCAGGAAATAATCTAACCCATACTTTTACATTTCTCACCTCAAAACTAAAGTTGTGTTGTACACAACTTATTTTTTTTACTTACTCCCTCCGACTAAACAAAATTTCTCCGGTTTGACTTGATACGAAGATTAAGAAAAGTTGAAAAGTATAAAGACGTTCTATATGTTGCCTTCAATGTGATAGAATAAAGTCAATAGTATAAAGAGAAAATAGTGGAATAATGACACATTCATTAAAAAAAATTTGCCAAAATAAGAAACGAGAAATAAAATTTTGAAGATCCCAAAAAGGAAAACGAAAAGAAATTAATGGACAGAGAGAGTATTACTTAGTTTATCGGAATCAAATCAGATCAATCATTAAATGCAAATATAATTTTTTCTTGAAAAATAGACGGTCATTTTCTAACTTAAAAAGGTTTAAAAATAAGCATTACTGTCATTGAATAAATAAATTGAAGAAACACAACCTTAGTTTTGGTTTGAAAAAAGTTACTATGTGTCAGATGATCATTTTCTAGCTTAAAAATGTGCAAAAATAAACTTCATCCGCATTTTGGTCGAGGGAGCCTCAACCCTAATTAAAATTGACAGAAAATATATCAGAATGAGCATTTGTGCAAGAATCTTCTCAGGGCCGGCCCTTGCACCAATTTGTCACTCCATAGTCACTTGCACTATAGTTTAGGGTCAAATGGTCCTACACAAACAACAAACTAAGTACCCTAAAGTTTTCTTAATCAGTACAAAGTATATTCATCATATACCTATCCAAGCCAACTTTAGTCTTCAAACACCTCTCCCCCGGCCTCTTTAAGGACTCAAAAGGTTACAATTGGTACATTGTCACATCACTAGGCCTAATATATCTGATTCCATCTAGAGTCAATTCTTAGCTCTCCTCTTCAAGATCATACATGGGTGTAGTAGCTTTGCATGACCAAGCTAAGGGTCTGTCACATATTGTTTGAAGGACACCGTGCCCTTAATACGTGTTTTTCAAGCCCTTCTAATGATTTCCAAAGCTTACTGCCCCGTTAGGATCCCCACCGCCTCCTTGAGAAGTTTCTGTGCTTCTTCTCTTCTTCTGCACACAGACAAAGGTCTTAACTGGTGAGGACATTGAGAAATCTATCTTGTTTTAGGGGGGGATAAGATAAATGAAAGGATTGGAGAAGCAAACATGATTTAACGGCTCGACATCTGATTCATTCCCTCCTATAACACATACTTCGAGTATTTACTTTTCTCTACTGCAACATTTTACATCTTTCACCATCTAATTCTTTCACGACATAAAGTGACGGGCTACATGTATATTACCCCAACACTTGCAAATATTGCATACCTTTTAATGTCCTCCACGGCTTGCTTACGCCTTTGTATCTGACATTCTAGGATATGGATAAGGGTTGCTCTGGCCTATTAAAGCGGGAAGCAAGAGCATGAGAGTTCGCATGTGAAAACAGAGCTAATTTTTCATGTAATTTTCCAAAAGAGAACAGTAGAAATAAGTTCAATAATATAACTTTGGTAAAAAAATTTGAATAATAAACAACAGCAATAGCCAATAAGTCTTGGTGTAAGAAGGAATTACAAAAAGAAAAATACCTGGTGGGGACGTAATGAATTGAGAAGGTGATGCAAGTTCTTGAAGATTAGAGATATTTCCTCTACTCTCCGAGCGTACTGTGATGGCCTCTCTACTAGAATATCAGCAAGCTCCAATATATGCAGCTGCAATTCTCTATTGAGTGATCTCAATTCCTTCTTGAAATCTAAAGTCAAAAGTTAGATGTAATTGAAACTAAAGCCATACTTGATGATATAACAGAATTACACAAACTTTCACCCTTCCATCCTCCTCAAATTTCTCGCTGGCAGTTTCACCCGAAAAGAGTACCTTCTTCTAGTCTGCAGACCTAAGTGAATCAAGTGGCTGTTTCATACCCACAGAGTGATTATCGCACCCATATGCCTTGGTACTAATCTAATTTGCATATACATGTTTGTGTTATTTGCGTGCTTTGTTTCGAAGTGGTACTAAGGCCATGTTCTCCCCAACTTATTTTTTTTTACTTATTACTTATTCTTATTGGAATGATCAGATCAAAAATAGCTTTAAATATAACTACATTCAGATCAGCTCTGACCAGAACAGATCTTATTCCAATCAGATCAAAACCAATCAGATAAGGTGAAGAGAACATGGCCTAAGAGTGTTCCATAATATAATACCGGAGTATATGTATATCACAAAAGGTTTCAGTTTTCCTAATCTGCTAAAAACATTCCATAATTTGGCAATCCAGTGTGTACATTCTAAAATAGGTCGCAAACAAACAATTGAATAAAGCTATAAGAGCTAAAATAACACTCTAAAATTGATCTTCTTCCTCAAAAGTCATCATGAACAAGCTCTTGTAATATAGAGAGCATACTCAAACAGAGCACTGAACTAATTAAATGTGTTTTGTGAAACTCTGAAAATGAAAGGGAGTAGCAAAATATACTACTAGGTTCTAACTAACGAAAGATGGTATGTATACCATGTTTTAGTAAATAAAAACCATTCAAAGAGATCCTACCAATATTTGGTCCTTTCGGGTATAACTGACGAACACCCTGATCTTCCAAACTTGGAAGAACATCATCAGTCTGCATTGATATCACACTATGTTCAGAACATGACTTCCAATCAAGAACACCAAAGGGAACAAACAAATGAATAATCTTGTAAGCTATATTGAATAAGTTTATTTCAAGAGGGAGTATTCTTGAGCCAGTATCAAATATTGATGGTATGTTAAAATATTAAAATACCTAGGGTAAATAACTAATGAAGTCAATGGAATTGAGCATCACACATAAACACAAGGAAAACTTCCACAATTAGACAGAAGGAAAAAAAGATTAATTAAAAGACTTACAGTGTAATTGCACCCATAAAGAATGTATGTACCCTCAATAGGAGGTGGGGGTTCCGGAGCGGATCTTGGATCATTGACGTAGTCCTTGTACAGCTTATAAAATGGGGGTGGGGGTGGGTAAGTTGCGGTCGACATAGTAAGAATCCTTCAAATTCAGTTTTCGTGCTTCTTCTTCGGGTATCAGGGCAAAGGCTCTTCCTCTCTCTGAACTGGTAACTTAGATGGCATAGAACGAAGAAAAGCTGGTTCACTGGGTGGGAGAAAAACAAAGAAATTGAAATTTAGCAGGCAGTTAGCGATATATGGTTGTGATTTTAAATTTTAGAATAGTCTTTTTAACGACTAAAAGGTGTGCTCAGTCCATAATTTAAAAGATTATGTCAAGATTTTTTATAATCCAAATGCATGGATTGTTTTAATTCCACATGAACTCCAATAGATTTTAAGATACTCAGTATTTTACAATTGGTAATTGTTTAGAGTCTAAAAAGTGTATAGATTGTTCCAAAATGGATAATTGATTATATAATCTACTAAAATAATTTAAAAAAAATATAGAATAACAATAAATATGTTAACCCTAATAACTAGAATAATTGATTACAAGTATTAGTACTGGAAATGTCAACCCTAAGAACTTCTGATTACCAAAACCAATAGCGTAATGAAAATTAAACAGCATTAACTCAAAGCTAGTCAGTAAAGCAATTGAAAACTCCAACAGTGCGCGAGAAATGAGAAATGCGAGTGCCGGAGACTTTGCCAAGATGGAATAGACGGTGAAGGGCAACGGAGACGACGTTGTACGACAAGGTCGAAGGGGAGACGTGGAGGTGCTATTTGTGGAAGTATATACTTCGTATGATGTAGAAGAAGAGAAAGTTTTGTGCTGCGCGGAAGATGTATGTTGGCCCCATTATGTCAAGATTTTTTATAATCCATCATCCATATGCATGGATTGTTTTAATTCTACATGAACTTTGATAGATTTTAACATACCACAAGAACTACCCTAAGAACTTCTGATTACCAAAACGGCAAAACCAATAGCGTAATGAAAAATTTCACAGCATTAACTCAAAGCTAGTCGGTAAAGCAATCGAAAAAGCCAACAGTGTGCGAGAAATGAGAAATGCGAGTGCAGGAGACTTCGCCTAGTTTAGGAACTGGGAATGTGGAATCATTCCTGGAAATTTGTTGGTGATAACATAGACAGTGAAGGGCAACGAAGACGACGTTGGACGTGTAACACCCCAATCTGCATAACCCGAACCAACGAGTTGGCCAATCATGTAGCTACTAATTTGGTATCAAAACACAATAATTTTAAAACACTTAAATAAAAGTCAAATGTTTAAAAAACAATTAATTTATTTATTGGAGTTATTCCAAAACAGTGCGGAAGCTTGTTAAATCATACCATCTCATTAGAACAAATCAATCCTTTAACTACTAACAGTTCTGCATCCAGAACATCTCCTTCCGTCTCGCTGCTCTCCGGGAGCAGCCTCAACAAAACACGTGTGTGCTGTCAAAGACAACAAAGACTGCACGCTCAGTTGAAAGTTGAGTTAGAATATACCTAACGCTAGAATTAATTCACAAACAGTATCACATTCATACACAATCACAATCAGACAACCGACAATATTATAGTTTAAGGTCAAGATTTCCAACATATTCCAATTCAAATCCTCACAAACAAGTCACTCTCACAACTAGAGTCATGGACACTCCCAGAGGTGCTAGGAGGCCATGCTCAAGCCCACTGAAGGTGTCCAATGGGCGGGTTGAATATCCTACCACAGAGGTGCCGAAGATAGGTCGCGAACTTCCATACGTACTTGAATCCTAACAATCTTATTGGTGACTACAATATTCAATTTAGTCAAGACCGGCCTAACTCACTAGGTGATCTATCTCTGTACATAATCATAGTCCACTATTCATCACCAATAGATTAATTCAATCCAAATCACAATTCAAGATATCAACATCACAAGTAGGCCCAACGGAACCATCAGAATTCCGTTTACCGTCATGCTCAAACATACAGTAAACCCAACAACAGAAGTAAGTAAACTTACCTGTATCACGAATTCAGGATTAAGGACTAAATCCTCAGGCCCGCTGCCCTGCCGAAACAGTACAACCGCCTCCGGATTAGCCCAGAAACTTGCCGGCCCAACCCGGTGACCCAGAAACCAACAAACCAAGCTCTCCAGGCGGCTGCCCACCGCCCGGAAGCCTCACTGCCCCCTCGGGCAGCTGGCCCAAACCAGCCCAATGGGTCCCACAACAACCCATAAATCACAACCCCCCAACAACGAACCCGGATTACAACCCAAACTGATCCAATGACAGACCCAATTGAATCCAACTGAACCCAATTGCACAAGAACTAACTCGATTGGACCCGAATTGACCCAATTGGGTCCAAATTGGACCTGCCTAAACTGACCAGTACGTCAGCCGCAGCCACTGCTGGCTAACCGCCGGCGTGACGCAGGAAATCAGCCCCAACAAACCTCCAATTCAAATTCAATCAATTCAACACACAATCAACCCAATTTTACAATCAATTCCAAGATTCATACGAAAAGGATTGCAATCTACTAATTGACGCTAACGACAGACATATAAACACGACTCACCTCGATAATAAAATAATTGAAATCCAAACCAAAGAGAACCGTCGCTACCTCCGCGCCAATCTGCCGCTACAAGACGGCCTGGTCGTCGACGTCTTGCGACGAGGAGAAGGCTGGTGGCGACGTTGCTGAGCCTCGGCGATGAACGAAGAAAGCGCAGGTACGTCAACGAGGTGCGGGAGGCGAATCACGGAAATCTGACTTAATTTTTACTCCAAATTTAATGCGGTACCCCATTTATCCCCACCCCTAGCATCTCCCAAATTTAAATCCCGAAGTTGACGTATTTAGAAGGGTGAGTTGGGATCTGGGGACTGGGTGGAGAACTAATAATTTTGTTCAACTAGTATATTTTTACCCGTGCCGCACGAGGTCGAATAAAAAGTTTTGTTGATTCTAAAAAATTTCTTAATGCAATATTTTTCTTCAATAAAGAAAATATACTTCTCGCATGATTTTTAAGGAGACAAAAAAATAAAGTGGAATAAATAATATTTGAGGAATTGAACGTGTATACGACAAAAAAACTTAATTCTAAATTTTCAGAAAGACTTCAGTGTATGTAACATTTTTAATATTGTTGCAAGGATTTCCATTGTCATCTAGGACTAATATTTTTAATTATGTCTTTGTCTTCACTCGCGAAACAGCAACATAAAGCTAACCATGAGTGAACACCGATTTGGTTAAAAAATAATCCAACAAATGACAATATTTGACATTAACTTTTGTTGATAGTCATAGCAAAACATAAGACTATTGGAAATTGTCTTCTCTCGAACTTCAAGGATAGCCTATATCAGATGGTACATTCTTCCTCAAATGGGTTAAATTATATATGTGAGGTTATAGCCGATGAGGATGTCTCTCCATTTGTATGTGTAATTTTTATCATAAATGAAATAGTGTACTAATATATATTTTATGGAGAAGTACAACTTTTATTCAAACTTTGTTTACGCATGAGTTATAAATTTATTCATTAATTTGTATACATGATAGTTTCTTGAAAATAAAAGCTTTGGTCGAAAATTCTTTTTTTATGTGTATTAAAATGTAAAAATAAAACCCACTAAAAATTTGACTACACAAAAAATAAAAAAATGACGATTAAAGTTCGTCCCTAAACGATGTTGATAATAATTATAATAATAATAACAAATAAAATAATAATAATAATACGAATAATAATAGTAATACTAATTATAAGATTATTATTATTAATCTTTATATAAACGAATATTTAAAGCATTAGTTACCAATTTCGTAAAAATAAAAACAATATATAAAAAAAGGAAATTTTAATGACATATTTATTTAATAGAACATTAATTATTTTTTGTATATAGTAAAAAATATTCTAATTCTAATAAAAATTGTGTTTCATTTTAAAATTAGTATTTTCCATTTTAAAATTATTACTTTCCATTAATAGCTTTGAAAAAATTGTCATATTTGTGTCAAAAATTTATTATCTTTCAATAATAACTATCTAAAATGGTAAAGGTTGGTACGATAATATTTATGTGTAATAAGTTAGTTTTAATTAGTGTTCCTAATTGATATATTTATGATATAATATTAGTTCTTATTAATGCATCCCGGAGGCCAAATAAATATATTGGCTTAGATACTAATTATTATATTCTTGGTTAAAAATTACATGTTGTACTCATAAATAATATATGATTTATTTAAAAAAATACATAGAAAACAATATAATATTTAATGTATACAATTCTATAACATTTAATTTTATATAATTCTATAACAATTAATTACATATGATTCTATATCAACAATACATTATTCTATGCATAAGAAAAGCATGCAACATTTTTATTTTCAACCAAAATATTCCTCTCTTATTTAAAATTTAATATGTAACCTTATTTTCCGCCAAAGTTTGGATATGATTTATTTTTCTGTTTCAAATAAATATCAGCTATTTTTTTACATCGTTTTACAATCGTTTACTTTTTGTTGAAGTCAAGTTGCTAGTAAATTTTTCAATAGTGTAGAAGTATTTGAAAAACAATGTTAACGTCAAAGATGTTAAAATTTGAGGTGTGCATGCATGAATGCTTTTTATCATTTATTTTCCTTTTACTATAAATAAGCCATTTGCTATGCAATAAACATTACAATGGGGATCATATATATTTTTTGCCTTTTAACCTTCGTGGTATAAGCGCGTATATAAACATCTTTAAAACTTTTATTCATTAAGAGCTTAAAGGCCATCAATTTAATCGACATCAATTTCTTACATCAATTTCTTATCAACTTATAATTTTTTTATCTTTTAATATATGTTGTATATATTTTATTTTTTAAGAAATATTTAAAAATTCGGGTTACATTATTTTGTTTTTAGGAAAATCATATTTGAATATCATTTATTCATCTCTTTAAAATAGTTTTCACCTACATATTTCTTTTTGTTTTTAATATGATTTTAATGTTTGTTTATTTTTTTTGCAAACTCAAATTGCTAGTGATTTTTTTCAAGAGTACAAAAGTATGTAAAAATTAATGTTAAGTTCTAAGATGATAATTTTTTTTTGCATTTTTATATAAATAAGGCATCTCTTATTTTTAAAAAAGGCATTATGGACCATGTATAACTCATTTGCCTTTACATATTCAAAATATTGTCTTTAAGCACGTAGATATTAAAGAGTTTTCTATCTTTTAACAATAAATAACTTATATACAGATTAATTTTCAAATTCTATGTATTTTTTATAAATAAAGCGTGTATCATATAAGAATATAATACTTAATTTTTAACCAAGAATATAACAATTACGGAGTAGTATTTAAGAACATTTTTTGAACGTAACGCATTTATAACAATTAATATCGCAAATTCTTCTATCAATTTTGCAGAAGAAATAGAGAAAATCTGATCTTGCACGAAGAAGTAAAGGTCATCCCTAAAAAAACCTTAAAGGCAATGCATAAAAAAATACATAGAAGTCTATGATGACATGACTCTTGAGGTGTTTAAAACATATCTAGTCAGCATACCAAATATCGTCATTCTAGAAGCTCAACTCCCAAATTTTATATATAATGATTAAATTCAGTCAATGCTGTTGAAATTGTAATGAAAGTTAGCTTAAACATAGCATTTCATGGTGACACAGTTTTTGATCAATTTTATTATATAATATAAGATAATTAAACATAATATATTTTTAAATTTATATAATAAATCATCTAAGGACTATAAACACAATTTCTCTAGTGATAAATCAAATCAGAAAAAATATATAGAATTAGGACAACATATCATCATAAAAAGAAAGACTTTTTTCCATTTTTAAGTTTACTCAAGTATTTCTTATCCAACTTTAAATTTTATAAGAAAAATTAGATGTCGTGTTAGGTGTGGCTTCCGAAGCCACTGAAAATCAGTGGGTATAGACCCCCCNACTCTTATTTTTTAACCTCTTACATTTCCCCTTCCACGAAAATGTCTCCCACGAAACAATAAAAATTTATTTTTTAATTATTTTGTAACACTTATTTTAATTTAAATAATCAAACTAAAAACATAAAATAATAAAAATTTATTTTTCAATTTTTATAATTATTTTTAATGCTTAATTTATATTAAATAATTAAACTAAATATATAAAATACATTTAAATATTACAAACTTTTAAAACTCAAAACAAAAAAAGAAATAAAAAACTAAAAAAAAATCAAAAACCAATATTAAATACTGAAAATTAATTAAAAACTAAAAAAAGAAGCAACAAAAGAGATAAAAGAAAGAAGCAACAAAAAAAGAAAGAAGAACAAGGAAGCAGAAAAAAGAAACGCCTAAAAATCTGGCGGGAAAAGCGGGAGGGGTTCTCACTCTTCCCGTTCCCGCAAGGGGAGGGGGGTGGGGCGGTGTTCCCCTTCCCTTCCTGCATGCCACCTTAAAATCCAGTTTTGTTTGGTGTATCTTGTTAGCGACCCAAGATTTGATGCGTAGTGGTTTGCAGTGGAAAGTAGGGCCTGGGAGCAGTATTTATATATGGACTGACCCTTGGTTAGTGGACAGTAGCATCCCGTACATTACCTCAGAAAATCTTAGACATGAGTCTTTGCATTTTGTCGGTGACTTGATGACAAATGGATAGTGGAACTGACCACTTTTGGAGGGGATCTTCAATGCCATGGCATAAATGTCATTTAAAGGATTTCACTGACTACATCAAGAGGGGAAGATCGGTTATATTAGAGGCTTGATAAAATTGAGACTTACATTATGAAGAGTGCGTTTAAATAGTGACATGGGATGATACAATTGGACTAAATACGGGGGTGGCAGGCTTGTGGAGGAAGGTGTGGAAGGCGAGGGCACTACTGGGTGTAAATTGATTTGGCGAGCCGTGAATAATATTCTACCTTTCTTAAATAATCTCTCTAGAAGGACGATGAATGTCCATGGTATTTGCCCCTTCTGCCATGGTGCAGAGGAGATAGTGCTGCATATTCTAGTGAATTGTCATTTTGCCCGTTAAGTTTGGGGGACTTCTTTTTTGAGATGGTATTCTCTAGTGGTGCACCCCTTTTTGAAATGGATGTCGGCAATGCCGACAGTGCTTAATCTTTTCAATGCTACGGATCAAGCTCTTATGTTGTATATCCTTTGGACTCTTTAGTCAGCCTGGAATACAAAGATTTGGAGGGCGGGGGGAGACTGCTTCTCCTCTAAGAGTTTGAACTCGGGTGCAGCTTGCTTTTGAGAAATGGTGGTCGAGCACGCATCCAGTACTTGAGGATCGAGCAGGGGAGGGTGGGAAAAACAACCTCCCAACTTTATTAATGTAAATGTTGATGCTTCCGTGGGACTTGTGAAGGGCCACATTTGTGTACGCTTTATTGCTAGGGACCATGAGGGTAGCTTTGTGGCAACTAAAATTATTCATCGCTAAGGAATTTTTGGGCTAAGAGAAGCAGAGGCCATTGTAGTGAAAGAGGCGCTGAGCTGGATCAAAGCCAGAGGATGGGGCCGAGCGATAGTAGTCTCTGATTGCAAAGAACTAGTTGACCAACTTCAGTCGCCCTTGAGTTACTATTCTTATTTTGGCTCTATTTTTTATGATTGTAAGTTTCTATGAGAAATGTGTGTGTGCAGGAGATATTACCTTTCAGTTTACGCATCCCTCCTCCAATGAGGCAGTGCATCTTTTGGTGCGGGCTACTCATTATACGAAGGGCATAAGGGAGTGGGTTGAATCACCCCCAGATTTTATTGGGACTTCTAT